ATGAGGAATCGGATCTAGATCAAATAGTCATTGGCTCACTTGATCTAAATTGGAAGGGTTGGATGAGAGGGAAAAGTATATATCTTTTATACAATAGGGGAGGTCTAGAAGATGAGAGGGGAAATTATATATATTCTATAGAGTAGGGAGACATTTTCAATTTTAGAATGGATCCAATTGAGAAGCTCATTTTGTTGAGCCTTTTGCCCGAGAGAGCACATGCACAATTTCCTCCCGCAGAACCAAAATATGTGCGGAGAAAAGATCCAGGGGCTCTTTCGTTATTTCGAGGAGCAATGGGGTGGTAGTCTTACCCAACGTTCCTCTTTGTTGCCACATGGTTGCATGCATGTTCGCATGTATACAGACAGAACCAGCGTGGCGTACACCTCAGAGGCCTTGGATTTGATCTACTTTTCCCAGTCGTATTTTGATCTTTTCTTCTCCATTTGACACGAACATATAATGGTTTTGGAGTCTATTATCTAAACCAGATTTGAAATATCATAGTGACCTTCAAGGTTTAAGAAAACAGATCGGAGATCGAGAATGGCCACCCTAAAAATTGCGTCGAATCAATGAATTGGTGATTTAGATAGGAGAATCGGCCAGATCGATCGGTTTCAACCTAAAAAAAATTTCAAAAAAAAAACACTATAATTTCCCTGAAGTCTATTTTTTATGTTACAAAAAGAAATAGTGTCCATTACATTATGCTTTTCGTTATTATGTTAAAAATAATATATCTCATGGTAAGTGTTTTTTGTCTATTAAATTCATTTTATAATCAAAATAAAGCTTCAAATGCAACATGACAATAAAATGAATCTTTAACTCAATTTATTTATTTTATTATTGTATAGATTTAGGAGTTTTGATTTTTTAAAAGAATCTATAAAAAACAATTTAATGGAAGAGGCTGTTAATAGAGAGAAAAAAAAAAATTTTAATGGAATTGTGTTTTCACTACTTAATAGAGAGAGAGGGAGAGTTTTAGTGGAATTGATTTTAGTATAACTATTAATGGAACGAACCTTGTAAAGAGAGAAAAAGGTGGTTAGTAGAAAAATAGAGATAGAAAGGTTGGGGGGAGGGAGGAGAGAGAGAGAGGCGCAAGGTGGGAGACGAGAGTTTTAAAAAAGCAAAGACATTATAAAAGCCCATATCATGAATATATTTCATGAAATGGTGAAGCAAAAAAAAAAAAAAAGGTTTTCTACCCAAGCTGCGTTATAAACACGGTTAAACAAAAAATAAAGTTCCACAATAGGGATTTTCATAAACACAGTGAAGCAAAAAATAAAGTTCTACAACAAGGATTTCATGAAGCCTAAGGCTCTATAAAAGCTTTAGGCATAATAGAAATAAAATTCAAACAAGATAAGAAAGTGTATTACTCTTTCCTTTTGAGATAAATATAGGAAAGTGTATATTACATGTAACAAGATAGAAAAGTATATATTACATCATTGCCATTATATATACAATGAAAGTACCACCACAATAATTATGTGGAGCACA